CCTGCTGTACTCTAAGCAATATGTATGCTAGCAACCTCTCAGATTCATATCTTTTAATAGAAAATTAACTTAAGCTAACGTAAGAGCGGCTTCCTGGAATGAAGACAGTATCAGGAAATAGTGCCTTAAATGCTATTAATCTGCATGGTTAAAGGAAGCACAATCACTGTGTACTAAAGGCTAAATTGAAGGGCAAACAACTTATTGTTAGCCGCTTCTTTCAAGAAGGCCTGGCATGTGTTCCATTTACAAGCTCTTCCATGTGTAGATGTCTTTCCTATAGTCTGTTTTTCAATACTGAACATTTACTAAAGCAGAGCAACACACTGCCAGACAGATGTTAGTAGAAATAGTTTTATTTCAAGTCAGAAAGGTGTCACAGAAAAAAAAAAAACTCAGAAACTTGCAACAGAACAGAATTCAACTTGGAAAAGTTATTAGTAAATGAGAAGAAAAGAAAACGAAAAACATATTCCTGATTTTACTGAGTGATTTGTTAGTCCTTAAGTAAAATAACTCAGCATTTCAGCAAAGCACACACGTTGCTGGTCTCTTTTGAACAGACAAAAATTGTTAATCTGCTAATTTGGTATCTACTAAAACCTTCCAAAGAGAAATAGTCAAGGCAGCATTTCCCTTATATTTGAGATACAACTTGGGGGACTGAAATAAGAACATTAGAAAGTGAAAAGAAAAAAATAACCCCATACTAAATAGGTATAACCTGGCTTTCAGCCCATAGGTGGTACTTGTGGATCTGACAGAAAACAGGTGATCTTAGTCTGGATCCAGCCCCCATTCTCCCTCCACAGACACACCACATCACAGTACACAAATGCCATTGATGCTCTTTCTGTGCGCTGGCGCAGAGCTAAAAACAAAATGGCCCAGGTCCTGGAAGTCTGGATGTCTGCTGAGACCTTTTTGAATCTTGGGTAGGTGGGGTAAGGGTCTAACTTGAGAGATGTAAAAAAATTTTAAACTTTGGCAAGTAAGTATACAAATGACTATTTCTTGATTGTCACTCTTATAAGGAAATATCACTCCACCTTCTGAAAAGATATTCTATCTTATTTGACTTCCCTCTTAAATATTTGGAAGGCAACTCTTGTAAAATGGAGGTGGGCTAAAATGTCTTTGTGATTATTTACTTGTAACAATGATTAGTTTATTATACTTCACTTTCCCTATTTAAAAAAGCATGTAAAATACGTATCTATCACTGACAACTAAATTCAAGATATTGCTGGTAGTGGAGGTGTGGGGACAACGTGGTTAATTTTAAGAAAATTGGCATCTATATATTTAAGTCCTGTACAATATCAGGTCCCTGACAAAATAGGCAAGTGTCGCTTCTCTCAGTCTTAATACTCTTGTATAGTAAAATAAGTAGAGTGCTGAGCCAGGAAGTATGGGCCTGATAGTTCACAGAGCTGATTTTTTTCTAAAATGCTATAATAAGCTGTATATTCACTTTTTTCCCTACAAAGTCTAAGTTTAAACACCAAGATTCAAGGATAAAACGACACTATTCTAAGAACTCAAAGTTCAAGAAAGTTCATTCAAAAGTTAAGAAACAGATTTTCTTTATGCTCACAATGATTTTGCTAACTGTAGCACGATTGTTCTACTCCAAAGAATAATGCAGGGAGACTAGACACAAGAAGAGTTCAACTGTGACTTAAAAGCATAAGTTCATGGTGTCAGGATAAAAGGAATTTTAAGTGCTGTTGGTAATTCACTAGGTTAGGCCTCTCCTTCATAATTTTGGCTGATATTTTGAGGAAAACAGGAAGGGGAAAATTAGAGAAATAAATTTTAAAATAAAAATATAACACTGGTTATGCATTCCTTTCCTTGTTACAGAAAGAATACTTCATAGATCTGTAGGGATAAATTATTGATCTATTCAAACTTTCACCACAGAGTTATTTGACAAGTCTGGAGGACTCTAAGAGTTATGAATTACTGTAGAAAAATCTGACTCCTAAATAATGCTGCCATAACCCTACCTTCACATTGCTTGGTGGAGGGGAAGCAAGAAAAAAGACGGTAGGCGCCACGTCTACCAAAGAGGTATAATTTATAAGTTGTACACTTTCCACTGCAGTCACGGAATGACTCAACCACGTCTGTCCTGATAGCTGACAGCACAGTACAACCTACGCTTGGATGGATGCCAGGAAACAACCAACAAGCAGTTAACAAAGGACCTATTGTGTGCCTAGAGCCAGGCTTATTGCTATGGGGAAATATAAAAGTAAGGAGCCACAGATGGGTCCTGCCTCCAAAAGCATAAAATAGTTTATAATGTGTGTATTTCTTATTTGAAAATCAGAAATCACAAGTACTATGTTGATGTTAATCTATGATCCTTTGTTAGGTCTGTACTCCTTCTAAGAAAGGCAGGCTCATTTGGGCTTTGTTACAACCAGCAGATATTACTGATGACAACATACTCAAACACAAAACTCCAGCAATATAAGACTGGTATCCACTAAACTGGTTCTGCAAATCACATTAAGGTACTTGGGGGAAAGGCATTACATAAATGCTAAATTATAACACGTAAGTGAGGAGAACAGCTTTAAACACTAAAGCCCTGTTTGGTTGTTACATTTTGTCAAAGCTTAGATTTCCTAAAATAAGCCTTATTTCAGCTACGAAGTTGTACTTCATTAATGGCTTATGGATCTATGGAACTTAATTTGGAACATAATATTATCAAGTGCTTCCAAACTACACGTGAAAAGATAATTACAACTCTTCTCTTAGAAATTCACAGAAAGCCAATTATTGAGGTGGCAGAAGCCAATCAATGCACTGTTTGACTGCAGACCACCCCACCAAGGTACAGCCTTCAGCACAGAAGGGTGGGCTGAGGGAAACATCTCTACAGTAAGCCTGTGTGTCATGCAAATGGAAGATTTTGACAGTCACTCCAAGATCTCACATCTAGGTCCCTAGGAACTTCCAAACTTCTAAGCAATTAATGTGTTTTGTTGACATTAACCAAAGGAAATGATACTTTTATTAAGCAAGTGGTCACTCAAAAATGACTTCAATGTCATAAGCCTGCAGAATATATAGTAAGGGGTAGGAGAAAATATACCTGGTGCTTCTAAGAGCCAGTGGCTCTTATATTGAATCAGTTGGTCATTTTGCCCACACATGCTATGGGTTCAGCAAGCAGACCATGCAACGTGGACTCTTGGAGCATTTCTAACCTCCATCAGTATCCAACTTGTATGAAATGCAGAGAGGTCAGATCTAGAATAGACACTAAAAGTCGATACAGCTCTAAAATAGGAAAGTCCTCTTTCTGATACACAAAATATTTAAGAAAACTGCTAACTTGATGAGTTAATATTCTGCAAAACAACTTCTCGGGCATTCTATTGTCTTCAGTGCACATCATTTGAAACTTCGTAAAACTGGTGAACCACACAAACCATATCATGTTTTGTTTTTTTTTTTTTGAATTTGTACAACTTAATGCACTCTAATGGGAGTATTTACAAATACTTTACAATAATAATTCATCCACTCCTGATGTCAAATCTGGGAGCAGCCAAAATCATTCCCCTTTCACAGAGGAGGAACTAGACATTTAGCTAAACTGCCTGTAAATCAATTCAGAACAAGAATATGAATTTACTACCTTTAAACTTCCATCCCTCATAAGTTCTCCTTTCCTTCATCTCTGTCTAGTTAATTCAGCAAGTGGCTTAATTGATGGTTCATACAGGATGTTTTTTTACTAATAAATTGTTCCTCCACTCCTAAAATAAGTAGAAGTAGCAAGAAAAACTATTTAAGGTCTTATGGTAAGTTAAAGGGAGGTCCCTCGGTGGCGCGAATGGATTGTATTTGACTACACTAAACAAAAGATAAGTGGTTCAAACCCACCCACCAGCGTCACAAAAGAAAGCCCTGGGCATTTGCTTCCATAAAAATTACAGCCAAGAAAACCCTATGGAGCAGTTCTACTCTAACACATGGAGTTGCCATGAGTTGGAACCGACTTGATGGCAACGGGCTTGGTTTGGTTTGGGTTTTGGTTTGTCAAGTTAAAAGACAAATAGAAACCTAAGCAAACATCATTTCCTGATTAGGCTGCTTTGCTTGCAGTGTGATTCTGGCATTTGAAACATAAAGCTGGGTAGCGCAGAGGGTCCATAGAAACATAGACCTTATTGCCAAGACAAGTTCTGAAATTACTCCAACATTTGATTCATTTTCAAGGTTCATAATGAGGCCCTAACTGGAAAAACTCCAGAGACAGGAGTTTGGAGCAAAAACTAAACAAGATGTGGGAAAATAGTTGTTTAATCTGAATTAGTCATCTGGGTATCCCAATTCAATGCCCTGACATATCCAACTCTATTCAACATCAAAGTGACAGATATAAAACTTCTGTCATGAACCAACATGAATAACTAAATTACATCTCAAGTGATCAGTTTAATCCAGAATCTTCAAAGACACAAGTTAATTCTGTTATCTCAAAGTGGGTGGCTTCTAAGAATAGGAACCTAACTTAGTTTTACTGGTATAGATCAAATTACATGAATTCTAAAACTACCAGTTTACCTTAAAGAAGAGTTTATTCACTGGGAAAAGTGGTTACTTATTAAATTTTGGTGAGAAATAGGAAAAAAGAATATTAAAATAATTTGTTGACAGGATGTAACAGAATATTCCCTAAAGTTATCTCATTAAAAAGTATTGTCTATATAAATAACAATCATTATTTTAAACTTAAACTATTTTCATATACAATCCATTCTTAAATTTGAAAGTAAGTTCAAACTTTTATTGTAAAATAGCATCTAGGATAGTAGCTGATGTAATAGGGGCTCAAGAGTAGTGAATAAATGTATATCACATAATTTTCATTAATGACTTTTAAACCTCACTTTTTAATTAACCCTTTAAAATTTCTTTTAGTAGAAAAAAGATCTATAAAAAGAGTTTGGATTCCATTTTGATCTCTAGCAAGCCAAAGTATCCTCTCTGTATGATATTTAAAATGTGGACTGCATTACTTAACACAATTGATTATAAAGTACAAGAATGAATTAAAGATTTGTTAAAAATTTCTAATTACTAAAATTCAGCAATTTTTCCATTTCATCCTGGTAAAAGAGTAAATTACACTTTGGAATATACAGCATATTTATGGGTCTCTTTTTTTTTTTCTGTCAGTTTTATCCATTTTATTGACTTAGTTTGTTCAGAGAGTAAACTAGAAAATACTTTCTATGGTGGCTTATAATATGCATTTTTAAACCCAAAAATGCCATCCAGGGCCATCTTGAGCAACAATGTAACCAAAGTATAACAGTAGGAATCCATATGCCCTTGAATACTGTCCTTCCACTTAACAAAAAAGCACCTCCTATGTGGACAGTTTTTGTTCACTTAACTACGACCCCATTTTAACATGGAATCAGAGCACAACACAAAAGAAGTGAATAGAGAGGTCATTTGCTATTATTAAACCATATGCTATTATTAGGTTCTCACAGAAATATTTTGTTGTGTATTTTTAAAATCTCCTCTCAAGAGTGGTTGTTTTCATTTAAGAACTGGTTAGGCTAAATTTGAAACCTTAACTTTCCTCTACTTTCATTATGTTTTACAATGAGTTGTTACCAGCAATCATTGTAACATGTATACCTCCAGTTTAAGAGAAGAGTAGGAGTGCAATACTTAGTTTCAGTTGTAAATAATATATGTGTGAAACAAATAGGGCTGTAATTATTTACATACCTCAATAAATACACAGAAATGAATATGAGTTATTTTTCATAAAAATACAATTTCCAATCAAGTCAGAGATCTACGAACTATGAGGACATTAAATGCTTAAAACACCAGCTAGTCCCCTCTGCTATAGAATGCCAGTCGGGTGAGGTCTGAAAGAGATTCTTTATTAGTGGCCATATACAGTTGACTATACCTGCAATCTCTATGTTTTCTTGCTATTTAAGTAAAAATATGGTACCTGGGCATTTAAAACATTATCAGTGTAATAATCACTACAGACTCTCACTGGAGCTTTTAAAATTTCGTTAATATTTGACAAAGTCATAATGAATACAATTATTGTGCTACATTATTTGAAAAAGTAATATAAATTATGCTGCTAAAGACAAAAATACATGGAAATACATAAACATCACAATGTAACACAGCAGAAACTCATACTATTTAATATGAAAAATTAAATTAAAAAATTATGTTAGAGAACTTGGGAATTTTTCACTTTAGCAAACAGTCTATTTATATACTTTCAACTTCTATTATACAGAATACATAAAATACTTTTAAAAGATATGACATTAAAATGCTTCATTTACACGAATACTATTGCCAATACTAATAAAAGTGATGCCTTTAACATGAACTGTTCTGCTAATCATGATTTTAAAACGTTTTCTCTACTCCGTTTTATATTTTAGTTAGCAGTAGCATTACATATTAATCAGTCTGTGCTGACAAATACTACTTCTCAAAAGTAATGTACATCATATTGCTTGAAACTAAACAACCATATAAAAGTGGTAATCATTTATCTAAACATTGATTATGAAAGCCAACTGGCATATATTCAGACAGAGTGTTGAGTTCATGATGGTTTATTTACAATAAACGTACTTTTACTGAAGCTAACATGATATATAGGTTTTTATGTCAATTACTAAGTCTCTTAAAGTTATAAAAATATTATATAAAATACGACAGGATTTAGAGGATATAACTTCATGTGGTTCTAATACTAGCAGCTGAAAAGTGTTTAGAATTTAAAAATAAACAAACTATAGAGGTAAACCAGTTACAAACAGCAAAAGACTGCAATAGTCACAAGAGTGAAAAGATTCACTTAATAACACAATAGCTAACAAAATGGTGAGGCAGTTGGATCAAAAGTTTTGAAAACCTCTTTCAAAGATTTGTCATCCGCTTCTTTACTGGGATCACGATCTGAGGCCGGGCTCGCCTGTCCCGGCTGCCTTGGCTGCCTGGGATCGCTGTACTGGGGTCTAATTAAGCCTGTTAATGCCGGGATAGGAAGACTGTGCACTGCTGGGGCCTGCACCATACCAGAACTCCTGAGAGGATCTGCCTGGTGGTCAGCTGGCCCATCAACAGTGACTTCCATATTTGAAGTGGTTTTCTGTGGCAGGACTGCTTCTGCAGGAGAAGGCTCATTTTTGCCACTACTTTTTAAATCACCACTTTTTTTCTGGCTTTCTGCATTTTCTCCTAAAGAAACTGTTGCTAGCTCAGATGTAGATAATGAACCATGCTCCCTAGGACCATACAAACTAATACCACTAAGAACTGAACTTGGAGTTCCCAGTGGAAGGCCAGCTGACGATGACAGTTTAGAGGCATATGGAGGCAGAGTCCTGGGCCCAGGATCGCTAGTGACTGCCCCTGAGGGCTGTGATGAACCAGGGTTTGATCTTGCTGAACGAGGGGCACCCTTAGGTGTGTGTGAATCCTTGGTAACTACCTGATGCACCTCTGCATGGGACAGTCTGTGAAGTCTAGGATCAAAATGTTTTTGCAGCCTGGGATCTCCTAATTTACCTCCTGAACCATGAAATTCTCCAAACTGTTCTAGGGAGCCTTCTCTGTTTGTTGTGTTACTTTTGGCTTTGGCTGCTAATTTGAGATCAGTGGGCACTGTGTTCTGATGAACATCACTTTTTGCATCCCATAACCTATTGAGCCTCTGGTCAGCTATAAGAGGGGGTAGAGGTAAATTGATTGAAGATATTGGATCAGGTTTAGGTAAAGGTACTGGAAGTAAATCTTCTGGAGCCCACACGATGTGTTTTGCAAAGTTTGGTTTTGCTAGGATAATATCCATTTTAATGTGACTGAACTGTCTCAATTGTGACCTTGGATCCTGGAGCATTACACCAGGTGAAGGATCTAAAGGTATTAAGAAAGCTTTTTCTCTCAGTTCTCTTTCTGCATTTCCGTCATCATCTCCTCTTTTGTGCTTGACATTAGTGCCAGCATTTGCATGACGTAAATCACACTTGGCTCCACCAACAGAAGAGCCTACACGACCACTTCCATTCCCTCTTAATTTCCTGGGATCCCACACAAGTCTAAGATCCAGCGGGGCAGGCTCAAGAGGTTTCCTAATGCCTTGCCCTGGGATAGTCCTAAGTCTAGGGTCAACCACTTGGTGTACTTTACTTTTCTCTTTAGCAAGTCTTGGATCAGTAAGAGTGCTGAGTTCTGTTGAAGGTTGTTGCTGATTCCTTAAGGTTTCTGTTTGTTTCTGCAGTGTTCTCAGTATTGACTTGACACTGCTCCCTTCTTCCTCTTCACTGCTGGAGTACCAGTCAACAGTGCCATCTAAAAGCAGATAGAAAGTTACTATGAAGAACCAAGCATTCCTAATTGGCCTCATTTAAGATTGAAAAACCCACATACTATTTCTGAAATAAGTATAGTCTAACTTCAAGGAGGCCTGGTGGCACAATGTTTAAGCACTCAGCTGCTAACTGAAAGGTTGGCAGTTCGAACCCACCAGCGGCTCCGTGGGAGGAAAGACCTGACGATCTGCTCCGGTGAAGATTACAGCCTAGGAAACCCTATGTGGCGGTTCTACTCTGTCCTACAGAGTCACTATATGGTTGCTGTACGTCAGAACCAACTCAACAGCACACAACAACAACTTCAAGTAAATGCATGATAGAAATGCCAGAGTTCCAACAATGGTGCGAGATTAAGATGTGGCATGACAATGATCAATTCCGTTATTACACTCTATAAAGGAATAGGTGCGATACAGCAATATGTGTGACATCCTTCCAGCCAGAGAAAAATCAGGACCTCTCATTCCAGTGGGCAGAAGGAAACTCGAAAGTGTGGGAAGCATGTGGGGAAAAGGGGAAGACTCTTGGAAAGGAACCCTAAAATGTTTTGGATCTCATGGAAGAAAAAACAGGGACAACGCTAGGAGCCCTAATACATGGCATGAACACAATATGAACCATAAGTCACAATACACAAGCACCAGAAGACAGACTAGATAACTGGGAGCTCCTAAAAATCAAACACTTATGCTCATCAAAAGACTTCACCAAAAGAGTAAAAAGACAACCTACAGGCTGGGAAAAAAATTTTGGCTACGACAAATCCAATCAGCATCTAATCTCTAAAATCTACAAGATACTGCAAAATCTCAACAACAAAAAGACAAATAACTGAATTAAAAAATGGGCAAAGGATATGAACAGGCACTTTGCCAAAGACGTATTCAGGCGGCTAACAGACACATGAAGAAGTGCTCACGATCATTAGCCATTAGAGAAATGCAGATCAAAACTACAATGAGATATCATGTCACCCCAATAAGTCTAGCATTAATCCAAAAAACACAGAATAATAAATGCTGGGGAGGTTGTGGAGAGACTAGAACACTTATACACTGTTGGTGGGAATGTAAAATGCTACAACCACTTTGGAAATCGATTTGATGCTTCCTTAAAAAGCTAGAAATAGAAGTACCATATGATCCAGTTATCCCACTCCTTGGAATATATCCTAGAGAAATAAGAGCCATCACACGAATAGATATATGCACACCCTTGTTCACTGCAGCACTGTTCACAATAGCAAAAAGATGGAAACAATCTAGGTGCCCATCAACAGACGAATGGATAAACAAATTATGGTATATCTACACAATGGAATACTACGCAACGATAAAGAACAATGATGAAGCCGTGAAACATAACATGGAGGAAGCTGGAGGTCATTATGCTGAGTGAATTTAGTCAGTCACAGAAGGACAAATATTGTACAAGACCACTAATATAAGAACTCAAGAAAAGGTTTAAACACAGAAGAAAACATTCTTTGATGGTTACGAGGGTGGTGAGGGAGGGTGAGGGTTATTTACTAACTAGACAGTAGATAAGGATTATCTTAGGTGAAGGGAAGGACAACACATACTACAGGGGAAGTCAGCACAATGGGACTAAACCAAAGCTAAGAAGTTTCCTGAATACAATCAAATACTTTGGGGGACACAATAGCAGGGGTAGGGGTCTGGTGATCATGCTTTCAGGGGACATCTTGATCAACTGGCATAACAAAGCTGATTAAGAAAATGTTCTGCATCCTACTTTGGTGAGTGGCATCTGGGGTCTTAAAAGCTTGCAAGTGGCCATCTAAGATGCATCAATTGGTCCCAACCTCTTGGAGAAAAGGAG